GAACGTGGCTCTATCCATGAATTGCAGAATATAACAGAACATAATAACCAGATCCTAGCATCTGAGACCTAGCCCTATTCCACGAAATTTGCCTCTGTCCATGTGTTTCCACTATGGCCGTGTCCGCGTCCTAACGCGGCAGGAGCTTGACTCGGACGACGCGCTGGTGCAGCTGCACGGCCTAGGGCATTTGGGTGGTGACCGCGGACCTGCCGGCATTACCAGTCCGTACCCGTCCTATAGAGAACTACCGATAGGATAACAGATGACCCAGGCTGAAAAGCATCCTGCCTCCCACAACCGCAACCCAACGCCGTCCCTCCAGGGAATCCGCGCCCATATCAAGGACGTCAGATCCGAGAGGAGACCGACGTAGGCTGCTACGCACATTGCCTTGACGCGTCGCGTGTCACTATCGCTTGGTGTATACGAGATTTAGCGCGAGGGAGAACACGAAGTCAAGGATTTTCTCCCATGTGCACGCGTGCACATCCTTCGCGCGCGATGATGGCCCTGGCCGACAAGACGGATACTACCAACTTCGTTTGATAAACGTAGTCGAAAGGTGAGGTATATAGAGCGGTCCTGAATGCACTCTCGCCTCTCCATAGAACCGCCACATCTGAGCCCGGACATGTTGCCGCGCGTGGTCACGATCTTGACCCTGTTGGCCACAGTCGCGAGGGCTGTCGACCCTTGCGCCACCATAGCCGGCCAAAAATGGACATCTCCCCAGGATGTCAGGACTTGCTTCGCCTCGTTCAAAGTCGACCCGGAAATCAAGGCCAACGTAAGTTCAGTGTCTACATTTCTTTAAGCTTCGCAGTAGTTGATTTTCAGCTTCTAGATCGTCGATGTTGTCAATAAGACATTGGCATTTCACACATCTGTGAATTATGAAATCCTGGCACCGCCGCCGTTCAGCGCAGATGTCCACGAAAACCTATTAGCAGACCTCGCTCGTATCAGCCAACAGGAGTATCCTTCCGATTTTGACCTGCATATCGACATGTCACAGACCCTGAAAAGGCTGAACGATGGTCATTGCGTCTATATTAACGACTGCTATGACTGTATGTCATTCGCCACTATGGCATTGAAGTCGTTCTAATCCGGGCCTGGGTAATTAGCGCTATTCTTGACCTTCTTGCCTCTCCCGTTGGTCCTGCTGACCGACCCAGACGAGTCCCAGAGTGTCCACATTGCCCCAGAAGCCTTTGCTGTGGCTTCTGTAGAGTTCGCGGACGAACTTGACGTCTGGCAGAATGCGCTGCCCGGCGCACTCAAGGGCCAACTAGAGACAGTATGTACTGACTTTCCAGGCTGAGATCCGTTACTCACAACAATACCAGCTCTCTGGCGCCGAGGTCCTCGCAATCAACGGTCAGGATCCATTTGTTGCGGTCGACGCGAACGCACAGACTGCTGGCAGCTTCCAACCGTTTGGTACGCGTCAAAATGGGTGTGTCGCAGCGTCCTGGCATTCTGACCGATGCTAACAGCCTGAGCTACACAGCTTCTTCGCGAGTTATAATCGCGTAGACGCAGGGTGGAGCTACATCATGGGCCAATTTGCCCAGCTGTCACTTCCGTTAAACGATTCGGCGACACTGACGGTCCTTCGGGTCAATCACACGATGCCAGAGACCTTCACAGTAAGTCGAAGCGTGGCAATCTTGCCTTCTGGCAGTACTCAGAGTCTTTGTAGCTCCCTTACCGCTCCCGCATCGGAACAACCGCAGTGCCATGGACCGACTCCACCACATTTCGGCAGAATAATTGTGTTGCTGTCAACGGCACGAACGGCGTGAACTTGAACAACCCCTCAAACCCCCTGCGCAAACGCGATTCGATGCTTCGTCCCGTGGAGAAGTTCCGTCAAAGCCCACCAGCGGCCGCGTCCTTTTCGCGTAAGCAGGCGCGCAGCGTCATGCTCGACTCTACGCCGCTCCAGGACGTCTCACTCCCGCCCGCGCTCACGCCCGCCGGGAACGTCCCAGGCAGCAGCGGTGTCACGGAGTTCTTCCTTCTGAAGGACGGCAGGACCGGTGTCCTCGCGCTGGGCAGCTTTGAGGACACGGGTACTATCGATGACTTTGAGCAGACGCTGCTGACGGGCCTGGTGAACCTGAAGAATATGGGTGCGACGCAGCTGATCGTCGATGTGGTGTGTGCGGTGCGCAATGTCTGGGGCTTCCCGTAGTGACCGTCTGCTACAGTCGAACAACGGTGGCGGCTTCATCTGTGTTGCCCACGTACGCTTGCGTCCTTCTCCTCTCTACGCAGACGCTGACATTCCGCTAGTGGCTCCACCGCATCGTTGGTTCTCACCTCACCTTCATACTCTCTACCTAATTTCCTGGTAGATCGTCGGTCCCAAGCCCACGAGCGTCCCGCAAGCGGGGCTGAACACGACCGCACGCGCCGGTCCGCTCGCACAGCAGATCGTCAAGCAGATCCTAGGTAACCCGAGCATCGACCCGGGCGTGAACCTGCTGTACAACCCCCTCAACTGGTTCTTCCCCGAGAACAACACACAGTTTCCGGCCGACTTTGACTGGCTCGACCCGGACGTACCCAAGGTCATCAACGGGCGGCAGGACGCATTCTCCCTGACGTACGTCCCTGTTCCGAGCTTTCGCGACGGTCCCGTGTAAGTTCTGAGCGTTGGACGCAGGTTGAGCGACGGCTGTCAGCCGTTC